GATCCTCAGAGCCTATGGTTTGGACGGTCAACAACGCTTGGGCCCACAGGGTCTTGACCTCCTGACCAGGTCTGCACGGTCTGCATCAGATTCCCCCGTATTTATTGTTTGTTTAAGCCAACTCATTGACTTTTAACAACAAACAACAGCCCTTCCCCCAAGGATTCTGCACTCTTCAGTTTTCACCATATCACAAGGGCAGTTTTACATCCTCAAGGAATTCAAATCAAGTTCCTTTTCAGTGTTTTTGTTGTTTGTTTTTTAGTTTGGGGAACAAAAAGAAGTCTGAAGGGGCAAGATCAGGGCCTTAGGGTGGATGGGGTAAGGGTTTTCCAATGAAATTCTCATAGGACAGCCCTTGCTATTCTCTAACAACAAGCAGGTACAGTGTTGTGGTGGGAAAAATATTCTTCGGTTCAATTTTCCTGGACTTTTTCTCACCAATGCAGCTGCCCATTTTCCTACAACTCCTTCCTTATAAGCCCCCATGATCACCTATATTCTTTGAGAAAAATCTATCAAGATTACCCTGTTTGAATCCCTAAAAACACTGTCATGGCCTTCTTAGAATGACCTTTCTGCCTTGAACTGGCCTGGCCAAGCAGGCCCTTCAGAAACCACTGTTTTGATTGAACCTTATTCCTTTTGAAGACACCCTAACAAGAGTAAGGCAAGCATATTGTGGAAAGAACTTGTCTGCAGCCATCCACTGATCACGCAGAAATATTTAAACATTTTTTATTTGGAATAAACCCATGCATGTATGAACTAGAACCCTAATAGCAATACTTTTTGACTTGCCCTCATACAGTTTCCCATCAACTCTCACCTAATGTCTGATGATCATTGTTTAGATCTATTATTTTATTTGTTGTCCTAATGTGGCACTGCAGGATAACTCACTGGACCACAGCATCAGTTTGAACTGCAAGGTTGGTGGTTCAAATCCACTAGCTGCACCTTGGAAACCCTATACAGAGTTGCTATGAGTCGGAGCCAACTCAAAGGCACTTAAGCAGCCACTGATGATCATTGCTTAGATCCATTATTTTATTAGGAGTATAAAAACAGTATTTTTCTAATGATACCATTTCCAAATTTAGTAACTGAAATTATTCTATAAGAGAAATTTATATCAACTATTTGGTTAATCTAAAATATATCTTGTATAAAGAACAAAAATCAAAACCTACTGCCAGCAAGTTGATTCTAACTCATAGCAACTCAGAAACAGAGTTTCTGAGACTGTAAATCTTTATGGGAGCAGACAGCCTCATCTTCTCACGCGGAGTGTCTGGTGTGTTTGAACCACTGACCATGCAGTTAGCAGCAGGATAAATGTTTGATTCTTTATCTTTATCAATATTCAGAGAGTAATGAGTTAAAATCCTATCAGGTTCCAGATGACCAGTGGCACATTTTTGTTTTGTTTTGTTTTTCATGTTTATATTATCCTATTTTTGGACTTTTGGTGTGGCTCTGTAGGATCAGCACTGGACTGCAAATCACAAGGTTGGCAGTTCAAACCCACCAGCTAATCTTCGGAAACCCTATACAGGGTGACTATGAGTCGCAACCAACTCGATGGCACTTAACAACAACAAAAATATCCAATTTTTGATCACTGGGAATCCTTTCAAGTTTGTTTCTGTGTTCTTTTGACATAGTCCCACTACCTGGATTTCTTCAGATGTTATCAGCAGATATCAGTATCTCACAGTTTCTGTAGATCAGATATCTAATAGTGACTTAGCTAGTTGTCTCTGGCTCAAACTCTCTCATGAAATTGTAACCAAGCTGTTCACCAGGGCTGTTGGCAGATCTCAGTATCTTGTTGCCTGTTGGCCCAAGGACTCCCTTATTTTGTCACCACATGAAGTTATCCACAGTACTGCCTCACAACATGGAGGCTGGCTTCCCCCAAAGTGAAGGATCCAAGAGAGAAAGAGAGAGTACCAAAGATGAAAGTCATGGTCTTTTTGTTTTCTATGATATGAATTTCATTAATTATGTAACTTTTTAGAGGTCTGCTTATTATCATTTTATTATAGCAAAAGGATAAAAATGAAGAGGTACATAGCTGTCTGTGATGGTCTATGAAGTGTGGGATGGTTCCCAATGTGGAACTACCATGTCTCAAAAATCACTGTTCTACCCTCTTAAGTATATAGATGTGTATCACCAACCAGGAACCGCCCCCCACCTGCCACACACATATACACACTATTTTTTATAGCTCTCTTGGTTTCTGGAAAGCAGCCTTGGTGGTGTAGTGGGTTAAACATTGGGCTGTTAAGCAAGTTTGACAGTTCAAATCCACCAATCACTCCTCAGAAGAAAGATGAGGCTGTCTATTCTGGTAAAGACTTAGTTTCAGAAACCCTATGGAGCAGTTCTACTCTGTTCTACAGGGTCTGAATCAGCATTGACTTGATGGCAGTAGATATATATATATTTTTTTTTTTTTTTTTGCTCCTGGAACAAGATGCCCCATATCCATCTGATATATTTTCTGCTCCAGGTATGGAATTTTCCCCAAGGAGGTCTGCTTGCTCTTAGTAAGAACTGATATTTAGAGATCACAATCTGAACTCTGAGAGTATTTATTGCTACTGGGATGCTATTGTTTTATCATTATTTTTAGTGGATAAAGCCAAAAAATGTGATTTTTAAGGAAAAAAATAGTTCATAATGACACTTTGAATTAAAATGTAAGTTTTAAAAATTTCAATTAACTTTAAATTTTACACTTAGATCTCTTCCCGTATGCTTAAAATGTTGATTACTAACTATACTACCAGATCATTTACTTGATTTACTCTATAGTATACTCATATTTATTAATTTGTAATACAAGATCAGTTAGATCTGCAGTTTTTATTAATACCATTTTTATTTTCTTATTAGATTAATATAGTGCTGAAATTAACACATTTACCTCCTCTGCCAAGTTATGGTCTTGATCTTTGTACGTTTCCACTTGACTATACGTCTCAGAGATTTTATATGATGCAAGGAATTGTAATTGCAATGACAACTGTAACCAAATACACACAAGGCGCAAGATTCCTTTGTTCAGATGAAGCATGTCCTCTTTCACAAGGTAAATATTAAAATGTAAAATCAAAACATTAAATAATTTACTGCTTAATCCTAATCATATTTATAATTAGTTATGAAATGCTCACAGAATAGAAAGAACAGAATAAAATTTGGTATGTCCCAGAAGTCCTGATGTGGCACTGTAGGCTAAGCACTGGACCTCAAAGTCAGTTTAAACTGCACGGTCAGTGGTTCAAACCCACTAGCTGCTCCTCAGAAACCTTATGCAGGGTCCTATGAGTCACAGCCGACTTGGCAGCACTTAACAACAACGGTGTTTATATATTTACTTTGTATAATCTTGAAATGTAGGGTCAGCACTGGACTGCAAACCAAATGGTCAACAGTTCAAACCCCCCAGCTGCTGCTTGGAAACCCTATACAGGGTCGCTATGAATCAGAACCGACTCAATGGCACTTACCAACAACAGTAACAAAGGCTCCCATAGTCCTGAACTACTTGCTCTTTATGACTGTTTTTGCTTTTGCTCTTCTCTCTTCATGTAATGTCCTCTTCCCAATCCTTTGGTTTAACTGTAGCTCAGTCCTTCTACAGCAAGGGTGAGGAACCTTTTTACTGCCAAAATGTATTAACATCATTCATGGGCCCTACAAAATTATCAACTTAAAAATGAGCCTGCTGTATTTGGTCTAACATTTAATTAACTCGCCCCTACTATGATGGCTGGAACTGCAGGTGCCTTGACCAGACCAAATGATCTCACAGGCCATATGGGCACATGGGCCGGATGTTCCCCATCTTTGTTCCACAGGGAAGGGAATCTTTCTCATTTATCCTTACCTTTCTTTGGGTTGAACACTCTTCCTCTATTCTGTCTCGATACTGTGTACATGAATATCTCTGTCAAACAGTTAAGTGTTAGTAACAACAAGGTTAGCAGTCTGTGCCCACCCAGCAGCTCCCCAGAAGAAAGGTCTGGCAATCTCATGAAAATCATATGCAAGACAGCTTATTCTGAGACACATGGAGTTGTCATGAGTCAGAATTGACTTGATGACAGTACTTTTTTCTTTGTTTTGTCTATGGAATTGCCACATATTAAAATTATTTGCTTAAGCTTTCATATCACCAGTACCTTGGCTCGATGCCTGGCAAGAAAGAGGCATGCAATAAAAGTTCATTCAACTGCTCTGAACCTACATATGAAACTGAGTTAATTTGAGTTAAACTACTTTTAAAGGGTTAAAAATAGATGGCTTTATCTAAGTCCTGGTGTGGCACTGTCTCAGATAAGCACTAGATTGCAAGGTCAGCAGTTCAAACTCAGAAGCCACTCCTTGGAAACCCTACATAGGGTTACTGTGAGTTGAAACTGATTCAACAGCACTTAACAACAATAAATCTAATTTAGCTAACCTCTGTTTGCGTTCAGGATTCCAGTATATAAGAGTGCACGTGCCAGGTGCAACAGAATCTGCAACAATAAGAAATGACTTCCTGTGTAATGTGTGTGCTTCTTCACTTCAAGAAGACAGAAAATTTAGAGTACTTGGTGGTAAAATGCACTTACACTTTGTGATTACAGTTTTAAAAATAGAGCCTGATCTCTTATGTGGAAATTAAAATGGAATGTATCCTAATAACAATTAATTTTTGTCCTTGGCTTTAAGATAAACAGGTTGTTGAAGTAATCACTGCAAAGGCACTTGGTGCTTTTCAAGGAGTGTCTAACAACCAGCCATTTAGGTTTCAATCTCTTATCATTTTCCTGCGAGGTGAGTAAGTTGTTGAAACTCAAAATAAATTACTACAAATTGTTTGACTTGTTTATACTAATATAGAATGATACTTTTGTAACCTGGTTTTTAGGAATCAGAAGTGTTTTCATTTTTGAGTGTTTTTGAGAAGTCCTATTTGCTGATGTATCAATCATTTATCTATTCATTCATACAATACTTAAAAGTATATTAGTATCAAACTAAAGTTAAAAAAAAAGAAAAGATGATAGTATGTGCTATGTATCAAGCACTGTGATAAGTCATTCTGAGGTACTGGTCTCCCATTATTCTATGCATATGTCAGTCAGTGCCTTAGGTAAATGTTGGTGTTTTTAAGAAACCCTGGTGGCACAGTAGCTAACATGCTCAGCTCCTGACTGAAACATTTGAACCCACCAGCCACTCCACTGGAGAAAGATGTGGCCGCCTGCTTCCTAAAGATTTACAGCCTTATAAATCCTATGCGCCAGTCATACTCTGTCCTGTGGTGTTGCCATGAGGTGGAGTTGACTCAACAGCATCAGGGTGGATATAAGAGTTTTATATTAGAAGATGAGTTTCATAAGGATAGGGACGTTAGTTCTTTATTGCACATAGTGAAAACTCAAAGATATTTGTTAAATGAATAAGTGAACATTGACAGGCTCACAAGAACTGACTGGGTGAGGATCTGTATGAGACAGGGTCTGGCAGGCAGGACAAAATCACTCTTAGGATCATTCAGCTAGGGAAGAGATAAGTCTTCACTAGGAAACCAGAGCTGTGAAAATAAGGATGGTTTTCATCCTTCTTGTTTCTTCTAAAACTGGAAAAATTCAACTGTTTCAAAAAACAAGTCTTTCATTTAAATCATGTAAAGGAACTCAGGAGTTCCATTAAGAACTGTTTCTCATCATTAACAAGATGGAGGCAAACATGATAAGTGAATTTTATATATAGCAGTTGTTAAGTATACTTTTACATGTATTAATTCATTTAGTCACAGCAACCCTATAAATAAGATTCTATTTTACAGTGAAGAAACTGAGGCACAAACAGTAGCTCACCCAAGGTCACACAGCTAGTAAGTACCAGAGCCAGGATTCAAACCCAGGCAATCCAGTCTCAAAGTCTATGCTTTGAACTGCTTACTTCTACTATATAATACATTTTAAACCACATACTGCAACTCAGAAATGTAAGTGACTGTCTAATTTATATTTTTATAGAAAATACTTTCTTCAAATAAACTAATGCATAGAAACCAAATAAATAGGGGGTGGGGGGAATCAATGAATAAAAGCAGGTCTTTTTTAGTTGACAAGGGAAAAGAAACCCAGACTTCCTAGACTTCTTCTTGCCTTTTCATTTATCTCAGGACACATCCATTGACCTGTAAGATTTCATGAAACAGGTGAAAAATTATTCATTTAGGGAGATGACAATCTGCTTTTATTTCCTCTTATAATCCATTCTGCATCCTTTATTGGGGTTTTCTGTTTGGTTGATTGGTTTGGCTTTATTTTTCCTAACTATTAAGCCTAGCTCTTCCCTTTTAGATTCACATGGCACACCAGTATGTTCTCTAGGGCCAAGAAAAGAAAAGAAAAATGGGAAAAAATAGAGGTCATGCTTTGATCTTCTTCATGTTGTTGTTAAGTACCATGGAGTCAGTTCTGACTCATAGTGACCCTGCAAAGGGTTTCCGAGGCTGCAAATCTTTATAGGATCTTTTTCATAGGGGAGAATTAATCCTTGTTCCTTTTTATAAATTTTCTTCCTTAATTTTGTTGTTATTGAGTGTCATCAAGTTGGTTCTGACTCATAGCAACCCTGTATAGGGTATCCAAGGAGCAGTTTGTGTTTGGACTGCCAGTGCAGTGCTAATCCTACAGCACCACACCAGGACTCCATTTATCAACAAGAGATCATAATATCTACTATAGAATTTAAGTTAGAGATAATACATGTAAAACTGTTTTGCTTGCATTGTATATGGTAAGTGGTGCCTTTTAAAATCACTTTCTTCCTAATGGAATTATTAATGACAATGTTGCTTTAATTAGTAGCATTCCTTGTTCTTCAATGCAAAAGACAAGGATTTCTTTTGATTCTTTTGACCATAAGAGAGTTTCTAGTTACTAAGTTACATACTTATGGAAGTTAATTCGTCATTGCATGTGAAGTATCAAAATTTATCACCAATAAAATTGTCTCAATTTATATTACTATTGCCACACTTATTATAATAAACAAAAGTAAATAGTTTGCTACTAAATTGTTACTGGCTCTGGATCTTTGAGCCATATGATCATGTACAAAGTTTCATTTAGTGAAAAAATACTTTCTTTTGTGTTTAATTTTAGATGAATTAGTGAATAAAATGAGCATAGGAAAGGAGTATAAAATTATTGGAATTCCTACCTGTGTCAAAACCTCACAAACTACTGTCTGCATAGAAGCAAACAGCATCACTTTTTACAATCCAAAAGGTAAGGAAAATGCTGTTGTTAGGTGCCATTGAGTCAGTACTGACTCATAGTGACCCTATGTACAACAGAACTAAACAGTGCCCGGTCCTGGGCTAACCTCACAGTTGTTGCCACACTTGAGCCCACTGATGCTGCCACTTTGCCAATCCATCTCACTGGGGATCTTCCTCTTTTTCTCTGACCCTCCACCTTATCAAACATGGTATCCTTCTCCAGTGACTAGTCCCTCCTGACAATATGTCCAAAGAATGAAAGACAAAGTCTGACCATCCTTGCCTCCAAGGAACACTCTGGCTGCACTTCTTCCAACACAGATCTGTTGGTTCTTTTGACAGCCCATGGCACTTTCAATATTCTCCTCCACACCATAACTCAGAAGCATCAATTCTTCTTTCATCTTCTTTCATCTTCCTTATTCACTGTCCAGCTTTCACATGCATATGAGGTTATTGAAAATATCATGGAGGACTAAGGGTCAGGCGCACCTTAGTCCTCAATCTGACATCTTTGCTCTTCAACACTTTAAAAAGTTCCCGTGCAGCAGATTTGCCTAATGCATAACGTCGTTTGATTTCTTGCCTGCTGCTTCCATGAGTGTTGATGGTTGAAAGGAGAAAATTGAAATCTTTGACAACTTCAATCTTTTCTCCACCGAAAAGAATGCTGTTTATTGGTTCCATGGTGAAGATTTTTGTTTTCTTTACAATGAGATGCAATCCATACAGAAGGCTGTGGTCTTTGGTCTTCACCTGTAAGTATTTTAAGTCCTCTTCACTTTAAGGTGTATCATCTGCATATTGCAGGTTGTTAGTGAGCCTTCCTCCAATCCTGATACCATGTTTTTCTTCATACAATCCAGTTTCTCAGATTATTTGCTCAGTATATAGGTTGAATAAGTATGGTGAAAGAATACAACCCTGTCGCACACCTTTCTTGTAATCATTGCAATGAAACAATGTGTGCAAAACCGATGTTCTCCCATGTAAACTATCACTCGATTCACAGTAAAATCTTAAAACATAAAAACATCACCACCACCAGTTGCCAACAAGTTGACTCCAAATGATGGTGACCCACAGGGTTACCAATGACTGGGTGCCCTGGATGGACACAGACCTCCAACCATCTGGTTAGCAGCCAAGCAAGTTAACTGTTTTGAACCATCCAAGGACTCCACTTTCAAAATGTTGGTGTTTGTTGCCCATAGCAACCCCATGTAACAGAGTAGAACTGTCCCATAGTGATTTCTAGGCTGTGGTCTTTATGGGTGCATCTCATTGGCTCTTGCTCAGAAGGGTCTGCTGGGTGAGCTTGCGTCACTAACCTTTTGATTGGCAGCTGAGCACTTACCTGCTCTGCTACTAGAATTCCTTAGTTTCAAATTGTTGTTGTTGCGTGCTGTGAGTGAGCCCATCTTACAGAGTAGATCTGCCCCATGGCTGAAATCTTTATGAGAGCAGGACACCAGGGCTTTTCTCCCTCGGAGCCACTGGTGGGTTCAAATTGCTGACCCTTTCATTTGCAGCCGAGCACCACCAGGCTCTTTAATTTCAAAATCTGCCCTTGGAACAGCAGCATTCAAAGATCTCCCATTTTGCTTTTCAGTCCTCACTGAAGGTGGTATTATTAAAACACAGAACTATAGGAGCAAACAGCAGTATAGAAACCCCATGATCTGGCTTTGCTTTGTTGTTGTTAGTTGCTAGGAAGTTGGCCCCAATTCATGGTGACCCCATACACAGTGGAGTTAATGCTGTCCTATTTGAGCCATCCCCATAATTGGTTGGGGATCAGACTATCTTAGTGTGAAAGCTCCTCCTAAACCTGTTCTGTGTCCTGGCAACAGGCAAGCCTCCACTGACATAGGGGTGAGAGCTGCACACAAAGTGCATTGGCTGGGAATCCAGTTGGGTCTCCCACATAGAAGGATTCTACCATGTAACACCATTGGCCTCTGGATATGCTTACATGTCTTAAGGGAATTAGGGATTTACTTGCAGCCACACAGAGCCTATCTGTGGCCACACTGAATGACTGCTTCCTTTTATTACATCCCCTGGGATAGAAAGGGTAAGTCAGAGTGACCTCCAATCAAAATACCATTATAAGAATTCAAATATGGTATCATTCAAAGAATATTTCAGACAAGTGGAATAAGAAATCGAGAATGTTCTTTTCTAATTGCATTAAAATCCTTTCTAATCTTTGTGTTAATATTTGCTTTCAGTTCCTTCAGGAATTAGTGACAACTTCAAGTGTCTCCTCTCCTTGACCTCCAGCTCATGCTGGAAGTTTTCAGCAATACTTGCCAACATTTTTGCGTCACAAATTGTGCCTCCTGGGACTTATAATTTGCTCAAGCTCTGTTTGTTGATGAGTCTAGTACAGACAAGGGATCCTAACCAGGAACTTGAAGATTGCCTTGATATTTTAATTATAACAAATGACACTCTACTTGTAGACAGGTAAAATATGTGGCATGAATCTTTAAAATTATACATTGTATTTGTAGAGGTTAGTATAGATCTTTTCCATGAGCATTATTAGAAGATGAACATTTAGAATATGTATAATATCATGTGTGAGTATTTAAATAAATTTGCATCCGTGAAGTTCAAAACTTTAAAAACATGAATTGAGAAATTAGATATTTGCTTTCAATGTTTGAAGAGTCATCTTTCAAAATTTCAACCTATTTCCCTTCTCAGACCTTTATAAACTGTATCCTTCCTAGGCTTCCTTTCCTACCATTCTCCATCTCAATGTTCAGCTTTTGTGCTTTGTTTTCATTTTTTAATCATGTCAACAAGTTATTTTCTTATTATTCTGAAAGAGTCCATTCAAGAATAATAAGATTAACTTGTACCCAAATCACCTACTGCCATTGAATCTTGGAAACCATATCTTTTAGGGTTGCTCTGTCTCAATCAACTCAATAGCAACCCGTTTGTTTGCTTGTTTTGGTGTACGGATAATTCTCAAGATGTTATTGTAAAAATGATGGAACCAATCATTCCTCCCAGAGCGCTCTCTACTCAGCTAGGTCTGGTAATCCATTGCAGTGACTACATAGAACTCAGGCACCATGCTCACAGTTAGGGGTTAATTAGGGAAGTTAACAGGGTCAGAAATGTCCAAGGCACAGTTCTTCTAGTCAGGCAGATTCTTCTCAGCTGTGCTTACAGTCAGGCCTCTTTCTACCAAACCAATGTCACAGAGTTCTTTTAGAGCTATTGATAAATGCCTACAGGACACATCACTCCACCAGAAGCCTCAGCTTGCAGGCACTCAGCTCTAGTTCCATGGGTCAGCAAATACTCCACCCTGCAAGCAAACCTCCTGGCCACACTCACTCACCTTTACTTGCTTCAAAGGCTGGGAAGCCCACTGCTCTATCTGGTGCTCTGACTCATGGTTCTGCTCACTGGTGGTTCTGCTGCTACTGTTTCTCTATCACTCTTCCGATGTCACAGCTTTCTGTGCCTAGGCCAAGGAAGTTCATTGTGCAGGAATCTCGGGGTTCAAAGGATGTGCTCCACTCCTGGCTCTTCTTTTTTGATGGTAGGGAGATCCCGCTTCCTGCTTTTGAAATGCCTCATTTTATGCCCATGCTAGAGTTTCAATGTTTTACAATTACAATTAAATCTGCTAATATTCCAAACTGAATCATTTCATCCTATCAGTATCTTCTCCCACCTTCTCTTACCCAGACTCTGAAGGACAAAAATGTTGTTTGGAGGAAGTTACCAACTATGACCAGAAGCCACATTATACCACATTGCATAATTTACTACATTGCAAATACTTACCCACATTGTGTTTTAGTTTCTTTGTTTATATCTTTCTTTCTAGGCTGCAAGCTTTACAAGTCTTACATGTATTTTTATGCCTATTTGGGCTATCATAAATGCTCAAAGTGCTCAATAAATGTTGAATTTTGTAGCTAATGATGTATCAAATATTAAATAATAGTAATGAATATTTTTTCCTAGGCTTTTGAATTTTAGTGTTAACCTTATACCCCGTGGTATACATCATCCAGTCTCTTCTGAAATTTTTCCTACTCTATCCAAGAATAAGTATGGAACTGGAGCAGTTAGCATTCAAGCAGGCAGTGCTTTGCTAGCTAAAGGTGGTATCTGCTTTATAGGAGACTTATCTTCACACAGAAAAGATAAACTTGAGCAGCTTCAATCAGGTAAACATTTTTTTTTTCCAAATTAGTTTTCACTTATTTAACCTACTGTTTCAGCATTATCAAGAATAACTTAACAATTTTAGGAATTGAGAAATTACAAACTACAACCTCCAGTACCCTGAAACCAGAAGAATTAGATGGTGACAGGCTACCACTACTGACCACTTTGACTGGGATCACAGAAAGTACTGGACAGAATGAGAGGAAATTGTAGAACAAAATCATTAAAAAGGGCAGACTTACTGATCTGACAGAGATTGGTGGAACCCCAAGACAGTGGCCCTTAGACACCTTTCAAACCTGGAACTGAACCCACTCCCAGGAAGCATTTTGCAGCCAAACAATAGACAGGACGATAAAATGAGCAGTAATACCCTTAAGGGACATACTCTTCAGAACCTAAACCATACAAGACCAAAAGGGCAGCATTTGCCCAAAAATAAAGCACACAAGGCAGGAAGGTATAGGAGAAAAATATGAATGGAAATGAGGAACCCAGTGAGGAAGCTATACATTCTTGTTGAGCAAATTGCAACTGATGTACGAAACAAAATGTGTACAAACTGTAAAATGAAAAACTGATTTGCTCTGTAAACTTTCACTCAAACCACAATTTAGGAAAAAGAAGGTGCAGAAATGTTGAGGACAATTGTCTTGTTGCCTCTCATAACCACAGAGCACAGAAATGGGTTTTTGACCATGATGCCAAAGCAGGTCAATGGAGAAAGGAAAGTTTTCTCAACAAACAATGAAGGAACAACTAGGTAGTATATGGGAAAAATTAATCTCAGCTCATACCTCACAATCATACACAATAATAAATTTGAGATGGATCATACCTAAATGAAAAACTAAAACTATAACGCTGTTAGAAGCAAATTATAAGAATATCTTCACCACCGTAAGGTAAGCAAAAATTCCTTAAACAGAGCCCAAAAAGCACTGACCATAAAAGAATGATAAATTAGACTTCATTAAAACTAAAATGTGATGCTCACAGAAGGCACCATTTAAAAAGTGAATAGGCAAGTAGAGGTAAAAGAAAATAATTGCAATATGTATATCTGACAGAAGACATATATCCAGAACAACAACAAAAGAATTGCTACAAGTCACTAATTTAAAAATGCACACACATAAAGAATCACAAAAAAAAAAAAAAAATGGGGAAGAGACAGTCACTTCATAAAGTAAGATACAAAATGACCAAAAAGCAAAGAAAAATTGCTCAGCATCATTAGTAGCCATGGAAATTAAAACTGAAACAAGGAGATACCAATCTTCACCTACAAGCAGGGCTAGCTTCAGTTTCACAGAGTCCCTGTTCTCAGAAGAGTCTGGCACTGGGTTAAAAGCTCTGCTGTCATCATCTCTAATTTTTTTTTTTAATAATATTACCTTTGAACTTGGTTTTGTAGGTATAGTCCAATGAAACAATGGAGTTTGTGGCTGGGCAGAGGAGAGAGAGACTGGTGGAAGCTCTGATACTCTGTGTGCCTTTGTCCCGGTCACATAGAAGTCACGGTTTCCATAACACTCTTAACTGCCCTCTTTTCAAGTTTCAAAGAACTTCCATGCATAGCAGGCCTGCTGGAATTCAATGCTTATGTTCCATATCGACACAGTGTCAACTGAGTAGTTGTTGTTAAGTACTGCCAAGTCAGTTCCAACTTGTAGTGACCCTGTATAGGGTTTCCAAGAAGTGGCTGGTGAATTTGAATTGCCAACCTTATGGTTCAAACTGAGCTTGTGGCCCAGTGCTTATCCTACACCAGGGCTACACCAGGACTCCTGAGTGGAGGAGGTGCTAATTCCAAGAGACCTTGCTTTTGGTTCTAACCAGACTTGCTTCTCATACAGGAAGAAGGCAGTGACGTTCTAAGTAACACAAACAACCTAAGAACCTTACCATTATCATTATTGGATTATTTCCCTGAGTTTTCCAACCACTTAAGCTGAAAATGATGGTATCAGATAAAAGAAAAAGAGAGCAACCCCAAATGCCTTTTCCTTCCAGCCCTTGATTTTTATCTGTAAGCCAAAGGTAGATGGAGTGTTGGTGAAATATGTGCCCATCAACAAATGAATTAAACCATTTCTGTACAGCATTTCCACTGTTCATGCATGAGTTAAATTCTCATATATTTTCATTTAAGACTGGCATTCTACAGTGTAAAGAAGAATAGTAAAACTCATGTTAATATTTTCAATTTTCAGGTTTTCTGTGTTTAGAATTAGGATTGCTTCTATTACTTTTTTATAATAAATGAAATAGTGTAAAGGAAAATACATATTAGAATTTTAAAAAGCACATTTTCTCCCTTCTTTTTGAACAACAGACCTTGTTTTCATTTTGCACAGAATCCTGCAAGTTATATACCTGGCCTTGACTACTAGAATGACAAATTTTTTTTTAATTGACAAAAACAGATGTTGGCAAAGATGTGGCGCAACTGGAGTTACCATATAAGTGGTAGAAAAATAAAATGGTACAATGGAATCAAGCTGCAATCCTACATCAAACCAAGAAGTCAAAGGCATACAAACTCTGACATTTTCACATGCAAATTGTGCATTTTTCAAAGTGCTCTGACAGTTTCTATAAAGTTAAATAAACATTACATATATGTAAGATATATATATGACTCAGCAACTATACAATAAACACTGGGCTGCGAACCACAAGGTCCATGGTTTGAACTCACCAGCCACTCCACCGGAGAAAGATGAGGCTTTCTCATTAGGATTTAAAGCCTTGGAAACTCTATATAGAGGCTCTATGAGTCAGAACTAAACTTGATGACACTTAACAACAACAATAATATGAGTGTCCATCAAAAATTATCTGCACTCTAGTTGTATTAAAACTTCTGTTGGCTGCACTGTCTCATCGGATCTGTTTAAGGTACTGCTGTGCAAGTGTGAATGTGGACATCTGCAAACAAAATTTGGACCAATACTCAAAGGAAGGTAAACATTTCTTTTAAAAAGAATTGTGACTGGTGACAAGATATGGATTTACCACTACTACCACAGAGTATAGAATGGAAACACTGCAATCAAGAAAAAGTTCAAAAGTCAACCATCAGCTGGAAAATTGATGCTTACAGTTTTCTGGGATTCTCAAGAGCCAATATTGGAACTATTAAGAAAAAGGTTCAACAATCAGCAGTGCTCATTACAGTTAGATGCTCACTGAAGAGCTGAAGCCTAAACTTTGGACTAAACCCAGAGGACTGCTATCCAAGGGTCTTGTGATCTTGCATAATAATGTACATCCACACACCTCTGTCCACACTTTTGACACTGCAAAAACTTCGTTTCAAGGTGTTAAGGCATCCCCATAGTCCTGATCATGCTCCATCGGACTTTCACCTGTTTGGTCCCTGAGAGTAGCACTTCAATAACGAAGATTCGCCTCTGATGAAAACAATAAAGACAGCAGTGCATTTGTGGCTTAAAGCTCAGCCTAAAACATTTTTTAAATAAGGGAATATGAAAGTTTATTGAGAGATGGACAAAGTGTATTGAAAAGCAAAGAGATTATGTTGAAAATGTATTTGTGTTTTCTTAAAGTTGATTAAAATAAATTCTACAACCAGAGTGTAGATAATTTTTGACTCACCCTAGTATATATGAACAGGGTAGCATGAGAAGACAAAGTAAAGTATTATAATAAAATGTACAAAGTTAGAAAACCAGAAGAGAAGAACATGTTCAGTGTTTCTCAAGCTGAAAGAACTGAAGAAAAAATTCAAACCTCAGTTTGTAATAGTGAAGGATTCTGTGGGCAAAATACAGGAGTACGGTGACTCTGTAGGGTAAGTGCTGGACTGCGAAGCACAAGCTTCACAGTTTGTACCCACCAGTTGCCCCAGAGAAGAAAGATAAAGCTTTCTGTTTCCATGAAGATTTACAGCCTTAGAAATCCTCTGCAGCAGGGATGAGGAACCTTCTTTTTGCCAAAATTTATAATATCATTTACAAGCCATACAAAATTATCAACTAATAATTTGCATGCTATATTTGGTCAAACAATTAATTAATGGAGCTGTGGGTTAATGGGCCAGACTGAAAAGCCGTTTGAATTGCAAGGTTGGCAGTTCAAGCTTACCAGCTGCTCCTCGGAAACCCTATACAGGGTCGCTATGGGTTGGAATTGACTTGACGGCACTTCACAACAACAATAACAAATGTGATGACTAACGAGCTCTGGTGTCATAGTGGCTACGAATCGGGCTGCTAACCTCAGGTCAGCAGTTTGAAACTACCAGCAGTTCCGCGGGAGAAAGATGAGGCTTTCTGCTCCCGTAAAGGTTTACAGCCTCGGAAACCCTGTACAGGGTCGCTATGAGTCGGAACCAACTCCATGGCACACAACAACAACAACAATGTGATGACTGGAACTGTGGTTGCCTTGGCAGGCCCAGACCAAATGATTTTGTGTGCCTTATGTGGCCCACAGGCTGGACATTCCTCACTCCTACTCCACAGGGTCATTATGAATTAGAACCCATTCAACAGCACTTAACAACAACAATAATGGGTCAAATATTGAATGAATGCAGAAAACATCAAAAAAAGATAGAAGGAATATGAAGAGTTACTGTGTCAAAAAGAAACAGTCGATGTTTAACCACTTCAGGAGGTAGTTTATGATCAAGAACCAATGGTACTGAAGGAAGAAGTCAAAGCTACACTGAAGGCATTGGTGTAAAACTAGGCTCTAGAAGTTGACAGAATACAAATTAAAATCTTTTAAAAAAAAACAACAAACTGATGCAGCACTAAAGGCGCTCATCTGGTCAAGAAACTTAAATGAAAGCTACTTGAGCAACTGCAGGGAAGATACTGTGCCTTTTCCAAAGAGATGACCCAATGGAATGCGGAAATCATAATAAAACAGGCAATTTTGCTAAAGATAATTCACAAATGGTTGTAACAATACACCCACAAGAAACTGCCAGAAATGGAAGCCGGATTAGGAAGACAAAGTGGAATGAAGGATATAATTATTGATGTCAGATGGATTTTGGCTGAAAGCAGATAATACCAGAAAAATGTTTACTGTGCTTTATTGACTATGCAAAGGATTTTGTCTGTGCGGCTCATGACAAACTATGTTCTCATTGAGCAAGGTCTCCCCTCAAGGTCCCCCCTAATTTTTGGTGGGACGGATTACAAGTTTTTTGACTTGATATGACACCATTCCGAAAATAGTAAGGTTTAAGTCTTAGCTGAGCCAAGCTCAAGAATATTAAGAGGAAGAAAATATCCACCCCCTTACAAGCATTTCTGGACAGCTGAGAGCTAATTTGGCCCATGGCTGGGGGCTCTGTTTTGTGTGTGTGTGTATAAATTTGCACTGAAGTCTTGTTTCAGAAAACAGACCACTGAGAAGAGTCAGCTGAGCTGAGGCCATGGCTTGCATGGCTTGGAGAAATGAGTTGGTGGATACCTTCTGGGCTTTTGAACTTACCCTTCACCCGTTTCCCTTTCCCCCAAGTGTCTGACCCTGTCTTACCCATGTCGAGTTCAAGTGGTGCAGCACCTCTGAAGCATCAATGCACACACCTGCTGTTGCTTTTGATTTCTGGAAGGCATGTAGTTTCAACTTGTAACAAAAAAAATATTTGTACTCTTCAGTAAACTGTGGTATTTCTTTAGCTTAAAAAAAATGAAGAATGTGCATTCAGAAGACTAAGTGCTCATAAGTAACCAGTACCAAGAGGCAGTCATTTAGACAAAACAAAGGAATATTGAATGGGTTAAAATCAGGAAAGGTGTGTGTCAGGGTTGTATCTTTTCACCACATTTATTCAATCTGTAATCTGAGAAACTGAATTATATGAAGAAGAAC